CAAGAGAAGGTAGATAATAGTTGAAAAGCGCAGTTGAGAATCAAACAAGAACAATACCAGGTGTACGTAGAATAAAATGAATTGGAAGAGAAAGTATATTGTTGCTGCTACTCATGTCCTATTAGAGATGGACTAAATAAATTATTTAGCGATAAATATTGTATATATATATATTATAAAAATATGTCGATGATGATATTATTTCTCGAATGTCTCTCGTAACACAGATTATAGAAATCTTTATAAAAAACTTAAAATTTATTATATATCGATAACTAGTAAATCGATAATTTTATACGAAATCCACATTTATCGAAAACGAAATTATTTCTTGAATGCCCCACATATTATCGAAATATTTAAAAACAGCAAAAATTAACGATATATCGACACCGATTAAAACGATTATTTTTAATAAAAAATAGTACTATTTACCGAACCTAATATTATTTCTTAAGCATGTCTATTCTTACACACATTTAAAACCTTTAAAAAAAAATAAATTATATATCGATATCTACTGAATCGGTAACATTTAAAAGTAGTTAACAATTATACACACATTTTTTACTCTTGCAATATGTCGCTGCAGAGTATAATATTTTTTTTAGCTAACGGATGCGTGTATCAAATAAAACTAAACGAGATAGATATAGGTTTAAATATACATATAATATATGCTTAAAAAATAAGGATGACAAGACGAGCTGAAATCCGGGTGACTGACTAGATTGAGTAAAAATTGAGATATCTTGATGAAAATTTCATACACATATTCCTTGGCAGCCAAGAAGGGTTGGTATTGTAGATGATGGAGTCGAATCATTGCCACGCCCACAAAACGCTGTTGATCGAAAACCTATAAAGTGACTTAATAAGAAGCAAGACGAAAATTTAGGAAAACGAATTACATTCCGCAGGGACATCTATGGTTGGAAAATACTTAAAAAAGTGGCCGTGTCCCCACCCTCTGATAAGTTTAATAAGTTTAATATACATATCTTCACTTCAATTTATAATAATCAAATTCGGTCTGAACAAATCCTTTTGTTAGCCCTACCCACTCCTCAAATGGGTGAATCCTGATAATAACACCGCTTATTAACCATATAACAGTTTTGTTAAAAACTACTAAAAATCCGATAAGTCTATAAATAATTTGCCAACAGAAATGGTACGGAAGGGCTTTATAAACGCCAGTGTCAAATTTGGACGTTGAGCGAGACATTACCCACATTTAAGTGAAAATACATGTCTCGGCATCTGCACGCCCGATTTCAACCAAGTTCGGTAGGTAATATCATCTTGCATTCCTACGTTACAATGCGAAATTCAGACGAAAAAGACGCCTGCTTCCCATATAACAAAACTTTTAATTCCATCTGATTCTTTCATTTTTCAGTATACAAATCAAAAACCAGTCATTGTTTCCGGATAAAACTTTGCACGAATAGTGCGTTTGCCAAAACTATTCAATTTCCTAGATACCGAATATGCGCATGCCAGTTGGTATTGCGAGCTTTTTACCGAAAATATCGGTCAACATGTCAGTTATATTATTGAAATTCGCAAAAAATGTTTCCCGGCTTTGACCTTTGCAAGTTCCGAGAGTATAAAATGTTCGGTTACACCCGAACTTAGCGCTTCCTTACTTCTGTAACTTAGGTAAAATCTCCTTAAATACTGCAGATATATATTAAAGAACCACTGTTTTTTGATACTTAAAACGAGTGGATGTCCAAACAAAAGCGCCGCTGTAACTTAGATATATTACTTTTGAACACACCCTCGTAGGCGAAAACTTTGAATGTGTGCGCCGAATGCAAATTTCGTCACCTGTAAACGGCGAAAAAAAGGGAATCCATGCACAACTGACAAGCAACTGGTTGACGAAAAGCTGCGACTTTTAAAAAATGATGTTATACTCACAGTGAACTGTACATGTATGCATATAACTGCTAGTATCTGTGTGCCGCATAAATTCTCTTCCGCTTTTTTGATGAATGAATGTGAATAGGCGAGACTTTTGTTTTTGATTTTGTTATTCTTGTGTCTATTGATGCGAAAAACTGCTAGTCAAGGCGTGGTCGCTTCACATGTCCTTGCATCGTCACTCGCACTCAAACATTAATAAATGTTCGCCTACCTTCACGCACGCTTATGACCTACGCTTGCTTCCAAAAGCAATCATTCGCATGCGTTTGTGTTTGTGTATATGTGGGATGTGGGTCATGCGTGGCATTTTTTTCTCCTTAATTTTGGTTATTTTTCGCGAAATATAAGCTCCATACATTGCACAAGTGGTATAAAAGCACTCGTGAGTGCCCACGAGCTTAAGTGTTTGTTCGCGAATGTGCATAAGTAAGCTCACTGAATATACATATTTCGGTGAATCTATGGATTTTGTGATGAAATATGTTAACTTTAGTTTGTTATACTCGTAAATATTGAATCTGAGGACTGTAAATTCTACCTGAATTCATTGAAATAAAATTCAGTTATTAGAACATTTCTAAACTCTTTTCGATAAAATGATTTTGGATAACGGTAAATAAGGAGTGGAACCGAACAACTGATAATCTAAAAATATTAAAGGAATATATTGAACATATTGTTCTTCAGTACTTTGATCTCGTAAACTCTGTGGAAAATGAATCGTAACTAATCGGAATGAGAACGAAGTGATAATTCAGAGCCGAGAAGTGTTTGAAGCTGTTCAATGACAATAAAACCATTTTTTACCATAAAATATGTGACAACCGTTAAAACATGGCTTCAACATTTTACTCCAGAGTCCAATGAATACCGAGCAAATTGTACGCGATGAATCGAATCAAAGCGTCGAACGATACAACAATTAAAGTTAGATGAAGTTTTGGAGTCTATACTTTGGGCATAAAATTATACAATTTACGGTGACTACCTTGAAAAGGATCCCACTTTTTCACGTACTCAGTCCTCGAGAGAATGCTGACTGTAAAGAAATTTACGTTAAAGTAAAGATAATCTTCGAAACTGAGACCGGTTTTGTAAACCCTAATTTTAGTGTAAAATTGCAAATGAAACAAAGTTTGAGGTAATGCTACATATGATGATCAAACACTTCAACTTTGACCGACGTTCTTGAGCTTTTTCTAGACTTGTTTGAATTGATTTTTTTCATTCGTATTGCTGATCTTTGATTTGGATAAAGATAGCTGTAAAACCTTTAGGTTTGGATCATCATATTATCAAAAAGTATTTCCGTAAACTGTAGAACGGCGGATTGTCGTTTCTGCAGCTTTGCGAGAAAATCAGCATAGCATTTACTTTTGAATTGCTCGGCGCTTGCTGGAAGTAGAGCCAGCGATTCTCTAAATACGAGAAAAGAGCAAATGACTTCTTTTGACCGCAGAATGTTAAAATTTAATTAGTTAAAACTTAAAATTTTTTAAAGTAATGTTGGATGAAGGACACTAAAAACAAACCTTACTTCCAACGACTTTGGCTTTAGATTAACAAAAGGAGGAACTACCCAATACTTACTCATATATTGCGAATTGTGACTATTCTACTTTGAAATTGAATTGAAATGTTTGTAACTATGAAGAGCCCAATTAGTACTCATAAACGCAGCAAAAACTTTGACTATTCTAAAATTTATTTTCTGGTTACAAATGTACGCATAACTTTTATGCTTTTGTAATACCTCTACGGCACATACATACATCTCATGGGCGCCAGGGAATGTAAAAGTCTTCTAGTTTTGAAAGCACTTTGTGTGAAATATTCAATATTTTAACCGCAAACTAAGATGTGTGTACGTGAAATGTTTTACCGCGTTCTTGGCGTACTTTTATTCATCAGTTTTTACGAAGTGCTACTCTGGTGGAAAGTTTTGAAAGTCAACAAGAGTTAGTTTGGTGGTGATGAAGGTTACCGGAGAAGTTTACTTCTTCACGTCTTTAACAAAAGTATACACAAACTAGATATGCCAAATAATAGTATTACGGAACTAAGGATATGCATATGTCTCTATGTACATATATATATATTGTATATCTGTGGATATGCATTCGGTTTGTTAACGGATTAATTAGGAAAGCAATGAGCTTTAGGAAAGCTTTTAACGTTCAATTTTCACGTCTTGTTACGGAAACAGACGGTTACGTTAAAATAAGCGATGTAATAAAGGACATATTTTGGACTACTTAAATGTGATCAGGTTACATAACATTCTCTCGTTCACAAAGTTTGTAACACTCAGAAGGAAACTCGGGACCCTATAAAATATATACATAAATGATCAGCGTGACGAGTTGAGTTGATTTAGCCTTGTCCGTTTGTCTGTCTGTCTGTATATACAATAACTAGTCTCACAGTTTTTGAGATATCGCCCCGAAATTTTGCGCATATCCTTTTTACCACAAGATGCTGTTTTTGTCGGAGTCTCTGATCACTCTAGTATATGGCTCCCATACAAACTGAACGGATGGAATCAAGTGCTTGTATGGATAACTTTTTATTTGACAAGATATCTTCACGAATTTTCGTGTGAATTATTATTAAAGACAATACCACAATATCCGAACAAATTGTTCGGATCAGATCGCTGTAGCATATACTACCTGCCATACAAACTGGCCGATAAAAATCAAGTGCTTCTATGGAAATTTTTTATTTTTGAAGGGTATTCTAACTTCGATGCAACCGAAGTTAACGGTTTTTCTTGTTTTATCATATTCTAATTCTTGGCATCAAGTGAAGCGAAAGCGATGATTAACAAATTATAACTATAAAGCTACAATAATACAATACATAGATATCATAAAAGTCATCAATCGCCTGGTGGGGACAAACTCTTCTTCTTAACTTAAATCGGCTAGAGAAGCCTTAAATACAAACTATACTTTTTTAGTATAAATTTAAATAAGTAAAGCAAAGTAACTGTCGTAGTTTTTGCTATTTTTATTGCTTTGAGTGAATAATCATACTTAGAAGAGTTATTTACAACATTTTAGGTAGCCTTAACTTATTCGTTCTTAAATTCAATGTATTAAATAATTTGAGCTGAATTCCCGGTGGTACTGCAATAGCCCCTAAAACACTCCATCGATTTCCAAAAATCAGTTTAACATTTGTTGTCCTCCGATGGAGGATCTATCAGATGTTAAGCTGATAAGAACAGATACTACATTTGATCTTAGCCATAAGGCCGAGAAGCGATAACTATTGAACGCCAAAAGTACACTACTTGTGTAGAAATAAATCTTAAGTGTATGAGAATTGAAGGACCTACAAAAGGTGAAAGAAATGCTGAAGAGCCGTACAGGTATGCAACCATCTGCAAAACATTGAAGGATGGAAGGCAACGTCACCAATCATTAAGAAGATAAAACACCCTTATTTGTTGAGATCTCTCTAGGCATTTTTAACTACATTTCTGGCATACTTTTAGATTGAGTTTTATAAAGTTTAGCGAACCAGTTTTTAAGCCAGACTGCCTTACTTATTACGAATTTATTCAGCTTAAATTAATAAAAGCTGAATATCAAAAACCCCTCAAAGGTTGCTATTCCACATCAACCTACGCTGGCGTTCAGCGCTATATTCAGCTTTCATTAAAAGTCTGGTATGCTTTTTGGCTTTCAGGACTCATTCTACTTAAGAGAATGACTACGCTGAATAATTACGTTCCAGAGAAGCCTGATGTAGAATAGCAGCTTTTTTTTATAAGTTTAAGCATTTAAGTATTTAGATTTCTATTTTGTACTTTTGTATAAATCGTAGATCCTTTCACTAAATCTTAAGAAAAGACAGATTTTTTGGTATTCTAGGTTAAATTTAATAAAACTAGAACATTGTAGATTTCATAAAAAAGTTGTTAAGAGTTTATCTCTCACTATAATAAAATTATTGATAACGAAAAATTCAAATAGATTTTTCGCTTGAAGATTAGAACTCTAGATACGTATATCTTATATGATCTTTAATAAAAGAAACTCCCTATATAGACCTATCTTATATGGGAGAGCTACATATGCTCTGAGAGAGGAAAGAACAACCTGCTGAGCCTGTGGTTTCAAAGAGCGCTAACATTGTGGTAGAAAATCTTTAGGAAACTCATCTAAAACGACTTCTTCTTTCAAAGTCAGCAGCCTCAGAAATTATAATATTTTTACGAAGGTGTAAAGCTTTCCGTTCGCTGATGTTGATTGATAAAACTTTGAGAGGAAAACGCGCAACAATAGCTTTTTCTCTCTCCTTCATTGTTATATTGTCAAACCTATTTTAGTTTTTTTCTGTTTTCTAACCTTTTACCATTATCTTGCTATCTTTCTCGTTATTATATTTTCAAATTGCTACCATTTTTTTTTAAGTATTTGAACACATAATTTTACTTTTAAACTGGCCTTACAACTCGTTTCCGTTTCAATTAAAAAACTAAAACTAATTATTTCCAACCACGCACACATTTCCAAAGAGAAATATGATGATTTGCCAACAAAGCAGCAATTTTCCACATAATTGGCTTTGTGTTTCCACATGTTGCTAGGGAAATTAAAAATCAGTTTTGTGGCAATTCGCCCACCCTCTGGCAGGGATTATGGCGAAATGAGTGCAATTCCAGCAAAAATTATTGCAGTTTATAATGTGAACTCAAAAGCGAAATGGCGGGAATGAGCGCAAGCGAACAAAAAGATTATAGATTTTTACTATAAACACATACACAATATGTATGTATAGGATTTTGAAATAATAGACTCTTGCTTTCATATGCATATACTTTTATATACAAGTATGTCGTATATAAATATATGACCTAAATGCTTTTGATTATTTTACGAGGAAATAAAAAGGTCTTTACAAGAGATGAAAATTATTTCTTACTCAAAAGAAATTTTTATTTTTATTTTTCTGCAATAATCCAGAATTTCTAATGTATACATATTTATAAACAAACATAGATATTAATTTTTTTTTTTGGAAATAGAAATTCTTGGTTAGTAAATAAGATATTTTTTAGAAAAACTATTTATTGTTGTGATCTACAAAATTTACATGTGATTATAGTTAGTTCAAAATAGCTCTTACGAAATTTTGTTTTCACGCTCCAGTTCTGACATTTTGTAAGCGAGTGCGAAAATCATTTGAAACTAAATTCAAAATATTCGAAGTTTGGTAAGCAAAGCAAACTGGGCAGCTCCTTAGGTTCTTTGTTATGTATAGTTAATAAACTAAAATGCCCTCCTGGATGACTGCGCTGTGAAGGAATTCTTTATTCAGTTCGTATGGAGATTTTTGAGCGAAGCTTGCTGATGTTTAAATATGCACTAAGTATACCTGGAAACCTCGAATTTTTAAGGAAACAATAATGAAAATACCATTTTTAATAAACTTCTCTGAAATGGACATAATATTGGACTTTGCGATTTTAGTATTTACCATACTTTGCCATCTGCCTTTAAGAGGACAGGTTTAAAAGTAAATGCTTTTCTTCCAGCAGTATTCAACTGCTTCCTGTACGTACAAGGTGCGTTCCAAAGTAAACAGTAAACAAGTAACAAAGTAAACTCTAGTGGCGCCATCTATATGTCGACTAGTGCGTTAGAACCTGCTATCCTTTATCGACTTTCAGTAAAAATTTCATGACATTTCATCTATTGGAAGTGAAGTTATTGAGTTTTAAGTGTCAGTATGTTTTTGTCATCGGTGCGAAAATGAGCTTCGAACAAAGAGCCAACATTAAATTTTGTTTTAAAATTGGTAAAACTTTTACCGAAACGTTTCCATTGAAAAAGCAAAGTGCACGAGTGGTTTCAACGCTTTCAAAGTGGTCGTGAGGACATAAATGAGAAATGAGCCGAAACCCAAAAAATCGCGCCTGGAGAAGTCAAAAGTGAAGACAATGCTGATTTGTTTTTATGATTCCCAGGGTATTGTCCGAAAAGAATTTATTCCACCCGGCCAAAACGTTAATGCGGTATTCTACATTGGAGTTTTGAAGCGGTTGGTTTGTTGCACGATAATGCGCCGTCTTATCGATCGACGCTTGTAGCCGATTATTTGATCAAAAATCACATTTTAACAATCAACCTCTCCCCGTATTAACCTGATATGGCAGCGTGCGACTTCTACCTTTTCGGAGAAATGCATTTGCCGATGAAAGGAAAGCGTTATGCAGACGTGGAGGCCATTCAAAAGGCTTGCACCGGCATACTGGCGGCCATACCTGGCAACGAGCTAAAACACTCCTTCGACATGCTTTTGGATGTATTAAAGCAGAAGGAGACTATTTTGAATAAAATTAATTGATTTTGCCGATAAAACCATTTGTTCTGTCTTTTTTTTTAAAGCCCTGTTTACTTTGGAACGCACCTTGTACATACATATATAATGGACGCATACTTGGTATACCCAAAACCCACTATTCCTCTTCTCTTTCTCATATCGCAATTGCTTCTTCTTTCTCTCTACTATACAATTGTGTTCGAGTTCTCAGTATAGGGTAAGCTTAGATAAAAAACTAAATTGTTATCAAGCCAAAAATGAAATGTTCTGAGACTTGTTCGAAAAGATCGATATCGCCGCATTTCTCAACTTTTTATAAATTCTAATTTTAGCACCAGTAGAAGCTTTGGGCTGTTGGGTAGCAATTATTTACCCAGAATTTTAATTAAACGTACTCCAAAAGATTGGTGGAAAAATATGTTAACGAAAAAAAAATCTGAAAATATCTTTGCTGTATAAGTAAACCCTTTTATATACCATAAACTCTATATATTCATCTTTATTGTAAACTTCGTGTGAATAATTCAATCCCGTGTATCACGTGTGAAATGTGTGAATTTCGATTATGCTATTGAGAACTTCGGGAATCTGTCACATAAGTTGTTGTTTTGAAATTCTCAAATGGATTTCGATGGTGGCCCCTTGCTATTGGAAGAATCATGTAACTTCATTCAAAATATTGTACCATGCACCAAAAACGTCACATGAAATATATTACGATAAGGTAAAATTTTTGCCATGTGAAGTTCATTATAAGAAAAACATGAAATATGAGAATTTTTCCATTGAAAATGTCGTTTACACAAAGTGCACAACAAGGCTTATTATAGGCGAAACTAAATGTATTCTTTATTAATCTGAGATTGATTCAGGTGCTAACTATAGTAGCTGCCCTTTTTCGATCATTGTGGACGTCCGAGTAGTTAATTAAAAGTATAAAAACTCAAAGATTCTGAAAAGCCGGAACGGTTAATTTGCAATACCCGGACGACCCGTGAGCCAAGTGAATTCATGCATTTTCTTAATAATGAATGTACAATACTTTAATGTTGATCGTTCTTCAATTAAAATTAAAAATTTCCAAAAAAAGGTTCTTAAAAGTTCGACAGTTTTTATGTTTCTATTAACACAGCATTCGATATGTTATGTCATATAGTGCTATATTTGAGAGTACCTATTAGACATTTTCCTAAAACTTCCCGACACCGTTCCGCACCACGAACAAGTGTGGTGGACCCCATAAAAAACTAATATACATTAGAAAGCATTTGCGACAGCTTGTTAATATTCTCCTGATCACAGAGATATTTATGGTTCAGATCCATATTGATACAGGATCTTCTAGTGTTGAATTATTGTTAGAAAATGACATATTCATTTGAAATAGCCGTTGGTAAATTATAACAGTGCGGATTTCCAGAGTTAGTTTTCGCAGTGCGGAATTTTCAACATGGTATATCAATAGCTTTAAGGCTTACGAGCATATCAACAGTATTAAGTATTACATCCAATCTTAAAACTAACCTAAGAAGCATTTTGGAGGTGGGCAATATTACAATATTTCGAGTGTTCTTTTAGCTTTTTGGAATATAATGAAAATGAATGATCTCATTTATTCATTTTTGAAATTAAAGGTAGTGGGACTAAGTTGTAAGTATTTAATTTGTTTTTATATCATCCACGAGATTATCACTCGATATTTACGAAAAGAGATACCTTCAACATAACCTCAATAACGAGTCCGAAATAAGTTGGTTTGTAATACTTTTAGAATAGGAATTTCTTCGATTTTATTTTACATGAAGAAACTTTAAAGTGGATAAAAAAAATACTTCGAATAGGTGTTTTGTTACTTCTCAACTTGGTGCTTTAACGCCGATATTTTGGTGTTTCTGACGCTGATGTTCTCATTAGATAGAAATCTTTCTTTGCATT